CCCCCCTCGCGTGTTTTGTCCCCCCCTTTGGGGGGGGGGGGGGGGTTCACATGTCATTGTAAAGGTCAATCGGCCTGCTTCCATTCAGTTTTTTACCCCTTAAAGGAGACAGATTATGTGGTAGGGAGGGGATTATGTTGTGGGGGGGCGGGGGGGGGGTTCACATCTTAAAACAGTTCCCTGGTATCTTAGTAAACAGCCTCTGGCAAATTACAACACATTTAAGATCCATTTCTCACACTGCAAGGCTCAAACCATTTCTTTTCTTTGGGCAGCAATTTTGCTCATAATTGACTTATTTTGAGGAAATGGTCTTCATGTGGTCCTTGGAGGCCACAAATTGACCATGGGCACCATGGTGGTGATCCCTGATATGGTGGTTCAGTGCGTGTGCTGTATCACCAAAGACAAATATCCCCCATTGACGGCCACATGGACAAGAAAAGCTAACACTGGTAACACTGTTCTGAATCCTTTTGCCAACTCTGCAGACTTTTTGGCCTCGATTTGATTGTGCTTCCATGCGAGTGAACTCAGGGTATGTCTTGAAAGGGCTCAGGATCACATTTTAGCTAATGTCTGGTGGAGAAACTTGGTGGTGGTGGTGGGAAGGGTGTGCTATTAAAATGAATTAGCCCCGTTGCGATGACACAATTCGCAAAATATTGAACAGCTCAATTATAAACTTGTTTACAGTTCTTCTGCATATATTTAACATGACATGCACAATATCAAGCACCACTTTCACATTTCCACAGCTTTTTCTTTTTTCCCCCCAAATCCTTCTCCATTTCCACTTTTTGTTTGTCTTTTCACCGCTCTTCTGTTTGTGTCATTACCAACTGGACAAATCGGGCTTTGTTGCAGCCGGTCATGTGTCAGTAACGAGTCGGCCAAATGTGCCGTGTCTGTGTTTTAGGGCTCCTACTACCTCCAGGCCCCCAAATCTGGAGGGAGAACCAATCGGGCAGCAGACCAGAGTGACACGTCAGAACTTTTGGAGGCCAAGGTGGGCTTTGAGAGGGGGCTCTGCGCTCTGTAAAGAATCGAATTAGAAGTCTGGTGCCCACCTGGAGAGCTCACTTTCGGTGTCGTGATGATGTGGCTTGAAGTAAAATAAATGGCCTTCTCCATGACATGCCGTATTTTTGTTGGGGGGTGCAAACACGAAAATCAAATGACAAAGCTTGGCTTATATTGTAGGCAGGCTACAAAAAAAAAAAATATTCAGTCGTGTTTCTTAACCAGAACATTGATTATGTCTACATTTGAAAAAAAAATCTAATATGAATGTCATATCATATTACAACAAAAGAAATTGTATGTAGATGTTTAAGAAAAAAAAGAGATTAAAAGGCTACCGCAAATTTTTCTTCTATCACAAGAAATCGAAATATGTCTAAAGAGAAAATATTAATTTTTTTGTTGTAATTTTAAAAAGTCTATGTTGGAATTCCCCAACAACCTGTTTTCATAATTTCACTATTTTAATTTTCAGTTCGGCTGTCGTCCATAAATAACAAAGACATAATAGTATTGCTGGCATGTGGCAAAAAAATTGAATATAAAGGCAAAATCTGATGAGAAAATGCAGCTGAGTGATATCTTGAAGTTGGGCCGACATTTTGGTCAAAGGGCCACAGATCACAAACGTGAATTTTCAGCGGCAAAATTACTGTATTTGCAGCCTGTCGGCGAGCCGGCTTTGAAGACCCGACCGAGCTGTCGGTGCACCCGGATCGAGTGTTGACACAGATGTTAAAGATGTCCTTTTTTTTTTTTCACTGTGGGGATAATGAGTTCTCTTTTGAGCCACTACCATCACAGGCGCAGCGGAGGGCGTTTTTTTGGAAGGCTCTCAGCATTTTTTCCCTCCGCCGCCTTCATCTCACCGATAAAACCGTCTTTGTGTGCTTTTGGTTGCCCTCAGCAGATCCAGTCGTGCCTGCAGGGTCGCAGCCAAGCATTCTTAACTCCACATTGTTTAGTTAGATACTCATGCTGTTTTCAAAACCCACGGCCTTTAACAGCAACTTCAAGGAGTAACCCCTTTGCCGCTGTCCACAATGTATTCTCTAAACAAAATAAATCTATTAGCAAGTCACAGGAGAAGTGAGATAATGAATTACCTTTCCTTATTCCCCCGACAGGAATATATTTTCCGCCTCGAGCCGGGCAAAGTGGATTCTGGGAAGGGAAAATGTCCATTTGACCCCAAATTGAACAGCGTCTCCGCTTTGATCAGTAAGTCAATGTTGATTTTTGCTTCACGAAAGCCTGCTGCATGCATTTTTAGAATGTGGGAGAATTGTGAAGGGAAAAAAAAGTGCTTCCTGTTCTTACACTGCGTGATGTACTCAAGATGACGAACACAGGACACCACACACCTATTAATAATGCCACTGACAGTCTTGCATCTCCTTATGTCGGTGGTACTACCAAAACTGACCTGTGGTAGGCAGTATAGTGCCACAGGGCATCCAGATGAGGACTCACAAAGAAGAGAGCATAGATGGTTAGCGCGGTGCTATAGCCCTGTCAGAAATCTGTGGAGCCCCAGTTAAGCCCCTCCAGTATTTTTTAAATATATTGAGAAATTATTTTCTCTGCCCCCACTCGATAATCAGTCAAGCCCTCCTTTAGCCTTGGTAGAGAAAAAAAAATCCTGAAACCGTGCCTCGAAGAGACTGTAGCAGTAGAAGAAATAGCTAGAGACTCATAGTTGACCAGAAACTGAAGGATTTATCATAATTGTTGAAAAGGTTCAACATTTACAGTTAGGTTTTCTGAGCCAATCAGAGAGTTAAAAAACAAAAAAAGGATAATCTTTCATTGACATGCAACAATCTGACCTTTGACGGATTTGATTGGAAGGGTGGTAAAATGCAAATTTGCTCCGATTATCGCTGTGTGTGCATCCCGCTGAAGAAACGTACAGATCACTCTTGAGCTGCTACCCACAACGTGTACTGGACATGGTGACTGTCTCGTGTAAAGTTGCTCACCTGACACTTAAATGATACACTTGCACAATCCAATGAGAGCCAATATCACATCCATCCATCCATCCATTTTCCAATCCGCTTTATCCTCACAAGGGTCGCGGGGGGGTACTGGAGCGTATCCCAGCCTTCTTCGGGCAGTAGGCAGGGGACACCCTGAACCGGTTGCCAGCCAATCACAGGGCACCCAGAGACGTACAACCATCCGCGCTCACACTCACACCTAGGGACAATTTAGAGTGTTCAATCAACCTGCCATGCATCTTTTTGGAATGTGGGAGGAAACCGGAGTACCTGGAGAAAACCCACACAGGCCTGGGGAGAACATGCAAACCCCACATGGGAAGGCCGGGGCCAGGATCGAGCCCACGACCTCTGCACTGTGAGGTCAACGCGCTTATCACTGGACCACTGGGCCGCCCTTTTTCAAAATAATGAGCCTTTAAAAAGGTAATAAAGCTTCGTTTGATCTGGTTTCGGACCAGTCAGGAACAGGAGTGAATCCCACAAATGCTGACAATGATAAGATCGAGTCGCGAAACCAACAAAAGTACAACATAAAATGCTGGTCACAAAGAACCAGGAATTAAAAAAATAAAATAAAATCCTAACCAAAAGTGCTTGCACAAGGCAAGGGAAACAAAACAATGCAAAATCACTTTCATTGACAAGCTAATTACCAGAAAACCAAAATATGCCAAGGATAACGCTACAAAATAAGAACAATGCAAAAACAGAACAAAAAAAGGAGATACTGAACAAGACTATGAGTGATTTTGAAAAGGTCTAGAAAACAAGCACTTGGAACATGAGTCGTGTGCAAGGCGAATTATTCAACAGCGGGTGATGGCTTGACAGTCTCTTATAACAGGTGACAGAAAATGACATGATCAGGAACAGGTGCGAAATGAGAAGGAAAGCCCTCTACCGCCCCCTACTGGACACAAAACAAAACAGATCCATGACACCGTTTTGATTCACTTTTAAACGCTCAGATTAGGACAGATGGTGGAAGATGCTACTTGTAGATAATGGGACGTTGCAAAGCTGCAATTGTGCCACTCTTTTGTCCGTCTGTTGTGTGTGCGCCCCTGTTTGTGGGTGGTCTGGTCGCACAAGGCAAGGGAAACAAAACAATGCAAAATCACTTGCATGGACAAGCTAATTACGAGAAAACCAAAATATGCCAAGGATAACGCTACAAAATAAGAACAATGCAAAAACAGAACAAAAAAAAGGAGATACTCAACAAGACTATGAGCGATTTTGAAAAGGTCTCGAAAACAAGCACTTGGTACAAGAGTCGTGTGCAAGGCGAATTATTCAACAGTGGGTGATGGCTTAACAGGTGACAGAAAATGACATGACGAGGAACAGGTGCGAAATGAGAAGGAAAGCCCTCTAGTGATGCAGAAAGCACTCAAGATAGTAAAACCAGTGAAAATCATCCAAATATATGGTTCATTTTAAAGTGAAATGATTCCAGTAGGATTACAATTTAATTCAGTCTGGTGCAGCCTGGTTCAAGAGTGTCTGATGCAATGATTTTTTTTTGTGTGCTTGTAATGCTGACTTTGCGGTTTGGTTTGTAATTTACCTGTGCAATCCAACAAAATGCGATCATTTTTGCCTTTTTGAGCTTGACAAAGTTGAAGTCAGTGACTGGCTGCACTGCTGAAATATTTTCTCAAGCCTCACCTATGCCCCAAAGCAAGGGAGGGACCCAGACCTGCTGCAAACACATACAAGCATACATCAACACCCCCTCTACACACCCATGCACGCGTGCGTGCGCGCACACACACAAACACATTTCCTCCGCCTCCAAATCTTCTTATCGATTCTTTGCAGGGTTAACAATAATGGTCTTTAAATGATCCCAATGAGCCGAGTTGCCGTGGCAACTATTGCAAGTGATGCAGAAAGCACTCAAGAGAGCCAAACCAGTGAAAATCATCCAAATATATGGTTCATTTTAAAGTGAAATGATTCCAGTAGGATTACAATTTAATTCAGTCTGGTGCAGCCTGGTTCAAGAGTGTCTGATGCAATGATTTTTTTGAGGGGGGGTTGAAAGTACATAATTATTTTACTTTGTACAATATGAATGAACTTGTCAGTATTGCAAATGCGGCATTTCATTTGTAGCTTTGGTCAGGTTTATTAACAGTGAACAGCAGGTAAAAATCGCTGTACTAAATATACATAGATTTAATATATAGACCTGCTTAATGTGGGTGTCCGTTTGGAGAACTTCCCTTGTACAGTTATGGTTAAAGATAAAGGTGACCCAACTGATTAGTTGATAGAAGCCGTCATTCATCCCATTTTTTTGGCTTTGACTTGTGAGCACAAACCTGAAATATGAGTGCTGTATGGGGTCAGTGTCAGAATTAGTCAATATTCATCCAAAAATAGAGGCTTTGAGCGATGTGCTGCCTTCTCCGTTTCAGTTTATTCTAAAATTTAACTGACAACAAAGAGAATTTCATGTTGTGTATTCAAAACAACCACATACTTAGCCTTTTGTCTGCTAGTTTAAGGCTTATGCTAACTTGGGCAATGATAGGCATTTGGTCATGGAATTAATTAAACTCATTTTTAAAAGCACAGTTGTAAATTTATCACGGGTCAATTTGACCCGCAGAATGACAGAATGGTTAAAGCTGCCAGTCACGTTTTAACGTACTAAATATACATAGATTTAATATATAGACCTGCTTAATGTGGGTGTCCGTTTGGAGAACTTCCCTTGTACAGTTATGGTTAAAGATAAAGGTGACCCAACTGATTAGTTGATAGAAGCCGTCATTCATCCCATTTTTTTGGCTTTGACTTGTGAGCACAAACCTGAAATATGAGTGCTGTATGGGGTCAGTGTCAGAATTAGTCAATATTCATCCAAAAAAAGAGGCTTTGAGCGATGTGCTGTCTTCTCCGTTTCAGTTTATTCTAAAATTTAACAGGCAACAAACAGAATTTCATGTTGTTTATTCAAAACAACCACATACTTAGCCTTTCGTCTGCTAGTTTAAGGCTAATGCTAACTTAGGCAATGATAGGCATTTGGTCATGGAATTAATTAAATTCGATATATTCTCCGGCAGTACTAAATATACATAGATTTAATATGTAGACCTGCTTAATGTGGGTGTCCGTTTGGAGAACTTCCCTTGTACAGTTATGGTTAAAGATAAAGGTGACCCAACTGATTAGTTGATAGAAGCCGTCATTCATCCCATTTTTTTGGCTTTGACTTGTGAGCACAAACCTGAAATATGAGTGCTGTATGGGGTCAGTGTCAGAATTAGTCAATATTCATCCAAAAATAGAGGCTTTGAGCGATGTGCTGCCTTCTCCGTTTCAGTTTATTCTAAAATTTAACTGACAACAAAGAGAATTTCATGTTGTGTATTCAAAACAACCACATACTTAGCCTTTTGTCTGCTAGTTTAAGGCTTATGCTAACTTGGGCAATGATAGGCATTTGGTCATGGAATTAATTAAACTCATTTTTAAAAGCACAGTTGTAAATTTATCACGGGTCAATTTGACCCGCAGAATGACAGAATGGTTAAAGCTGCCAGTCACGTTTTAACGTCTTCTCCTTGTTAAATCCGACTGATTGCAATTGATTCTGCATATCCTGCTGCTCCTCCAAATACCACTGATTGCCCTCACGGGTGTGATAGGCGTGCTTTTGGCGGAAGTGTAACCGGGTCAACAGGTTTGACCCAAACGTGGCGCTACAGGCAGATCATAATAGAATTTGGCTCTGTGCTGAGTTTTTTGAGGGGAAATCACCACCATGACGCACCGGGGACATTTTGGAACGTTGTTGCGAGATGATTTAAATGAAATGTGGCGGGTGTGACGTCACTTTTGAGTGATTAGCCTTTCTGCAGCGCGCGGCTCAAATGTCGAGTTATTTCGGTTTTGTGTACATTTATGACTTCACCTTGGCAACGCCCTCAATTCTCTGTTTTTTTGTCTTGACAGATGGAGAGCTGTACGCGGGAGTGTACATCGATTTCATGGGAACCGACTCGGCTATCTTCCGTACACTGGGGAAGCAGACAGCCATGAGGACCGATCAGTACAACTCCAGATGGTTGAATGGTAATGTCCCCATGACATGTTTGTTCTGCAGCCAGCAATAATTCAACAAATTGTTTCCCTCCGGGCGGCATGGTGATCCAGTGGTTAGCATGTCTGTCTCAGGGGCCAAATATCCGGGATTTGAATCTTGGCTTAGGCACAAATGGACAAATCAGCACTCACAATCATACGTGTGGACAATTTTTGTTGATTGGCCGACAGTTGGTAGGTGAGTCAACTCACATTATGACAAGCAACAATTTGGAAGATAACATTTATACATGATCTTGAGAAAAGAGGCTTTAGTCTGTTTCTTGGCATTCTCAGCTGAAGGTTATTGTCAAATTAAACACAAAACAGAGAGTTACACATTGGCACCCAGGCGAACAATTAGCATCTATGTAGCAGTGTTGTGAAGCAACAGAAATCTGAACACAAATGGGGATTTTGAAAGACCACACAGCAATACGCATTGGCAAATATTGTTTATCCTCTGCAAAGACCGATTAATATTACTGACGTCCTGAGATGCCGAGAGAAGAGGTGCGCGTCCAGTACAGTATATCTGTCTTGTACTGATTCCATGTGTTCAAGTCGCACACAGCAAAGTGAAAAGGAGGAAGTGTGACAAAAACTGTTTAATTCTAATTATTTATTATCTGTATATTTTATACTGTTATGTCATGTAATGCTAGTGCTATTTTTCTCATTCAATAGCACATTGCAAACATCTCAAATCACCAGTGGAATTTTTGGGGGGATGTGAGAGCCGCGCAAGATTCTGCATTGTCTTTGAAAGAAATGTGATCTATAAAAAAAGAGAAGCACTTTTTCCTCACTCATTTTTTGACAGCCTCCTGACATAAGTGGTTGGTGGTGTTTTGTCGGAATTAGGTGGATGCACACTTATCCACTCAATGGTTCTAATCGTTAGCATGTGGCGTAAAAGCGCTCTTTGCTAATTGTTGAGCACACGTCTGCACAAAGCCGACGAGGTCAGCCCTGATGGGAACTTGACAGCACGTCAATAGTGACTCATAGAGCTGATGAGCCACGATTGGGAAAGCATCATCAGTTGATGTTGCCAAATCAATCCCAGCCTCGCCCTTCGACGTTGCTCCTCTTGAAAATCGAATCCTAATCCTGTTGCCGTTGACAATACTCTTTTGTGGCTCATCCATGGAATCGGGACACCTGAGTCCCACTCATAAATCCTGCGATGCATGTTCTCCACAGGTGTGAGCATTTTAAAGGGGAACTCAAGCGAAGTTGTCAAAACTTTGTTCTATTTGAAACATGCATATCGTCATTTTCTGATGTTGTAGTGAAGTATTTTTTTGTTAAAAATATTTTCATAAATTTTTTAAAACTATTTATTATGTGAATCAGAGCGGCACGGTGAGCAAGTGGTAAGCACGTCTGCCTCACAGTGCAGAGGTGCAAGGTTTGATTTGATACTGTGTGGAGTTTGTATGTTCACCCTGTGACTGCGTGGGTTTTCTCCAGTTTCCTCCCACATTCCAGAAACTTGCATGACAAGTTAATGGAACACTGCAAATTGTCCCTAGGTGTGATTGTGAGCCCGCATGTTTGTTTGCCTATGTGTGCCCCGAGATTGGCTGGCAACCAGTTCTAGGTGTCCCCCGTCTACTGGCCGAAGACAGATGAGACGTGTGAGGATAAGCGGATTAGAAAAATGGATGGATGGATTACTGTATGTGAATCAGCACACTTACCTTCGATATCGACGGTGTGACGCAGTTGCAGTTCCTACTGATACCTTTTTAGCAAGCCAGGCTTACTTAGCTGTGTGTTCCTGTTCCGGTGAATGCTTGCTCAAATGTAAGGCAACCAGCTGAGTGAAGTCAAACCAGGAAAAAAAAACCCATAAGAATTGGAAAGCAGACATGCCAGCCACGAGACCATCATATTGCATAAAACAAAATATTCATTGCTGGAGAAATTTCTGCCCACTGAAAGCCATGTATTGTCCAATATTGTGTCCAAAAATATAAACGTGTTTTGTTTGTTTTTTTTTTTTTTTTAGAATGAGGGGTGGCAGAAAAAAAAGTCCCACAATATTTAGAATTGTTTTTCAGACAGCAATGATATGTAATTTACTATAGTTGTGCAAGGTGCTGGTAAAAGCTTGGCAATAGATCGCAAAAGTGCTTGAAAAATGACTGTGGGATCTGTACCCTCATTTGTCATTGTATTTGGGTAGGTGGGTGGGGCACCTTCTCTTGGATCTGTGTACTCCATGAAGCTATTTTGACCACTGCTGGGTGGGACAACATGAATTGATGTCCTAAGGTTCAGTAAAAAGGAAAAACAGGGATGATTCCTCAGCCCTCAGTAATCATACAAATGGTTATTGAGGCCAAATCGTGTGTTTAGACAGCGACCCAAACCTCAATCCTTCCTCCTCTGGACCGATAAATTGTTATTCAGGGCTCAGCTCTTGGGTTTGGTCAGTTTCTTGTCAGCTGTCTCCTGGTTACAATCATATTATTATTGCAATGTCAAAGCAAGTCGACCGATTCTAATGACCTCCAATTCAAAATGCTTGTGGTCTCCGGTGTCGTATCAAATAGAGCGATTTTACTAAATGTGCCTTTGTCGGCAATTTCATTTTTCCTTGCTCTATTGCTTGAGCCTTTTACCCTGGAAGAATGATGAACCATCTCTCCTGCTGCCACGTCCATCGTTTCCGCCTGTCAAATGCATTGACGTCTTTGTCTTGGTCATATGCCAGCTCCACCTGCTCAAGAATAAGAACGTTTTGGGTTCTCCCTGTTTTTCATTTCTCTAGATCCGACATTCATCCATGCACACCTCATCCCTGACAGCGCCGAGAAGAACGATGACAAGCTCTACTTTTTCTTCCGTGAGAAGGCCACCGAGATGGGTCAGAGTCCCATGAGCCAGTCCAGAATCGGGCGGATCTGCTTGGTGAGTTGCCGCATTAAGTGAGGCACACACATACCGATTTTTGACATCATAATCAATTTTGGAAATGTGAGAGAGATTGAGGAGGGAAAAAAATCGGTCGTGTTCCAAGCAGATTGGGAAGAAAAAAACACTCTTAACACTTCTCCACCGCTGGATCCTCGCTCAAGATTATTTTTTCGAGACATCTGATCTGGATCGTGACAGAGGAGAAATGCCAAAATCCGGCTCGATTGTCGATTTGTATTTCCGCCCGTTTGAATGGATGTTTGAGGCCTGGCTTTCTCTGCCTCTTTAGATGGAAATTCCAAAACGATCAATCCTCATCTTCAATGATGACAATCGTCCAATTAATGGTCAGGGCAGGAAAGCAAACCATTGCTGTTTGAGTTTAGGCTGGATAGCATTTTGATATTTTGGACCCTTTTGAAAGAGATGAAAATGAACTTCAGTTCACATCTTGCATCCAGAGGTGATAACCAAGTGATGTGATGGTTGTATTTGTCCAAAAAAATGCTTTATTTGGGATGTTGTTGGCCACACGTTCAAAAGGCTCTTCATAGACATTGACTAGTTATACGATGCAGTGAAATACAGCTTGAATAAGTGAGTCAGTGTGAGAACCCTTTTCGCTTCCCTTATATAGGAAAGATGATGGTCTCCCAGTGTCACAGCGACACAGCCTGTACTTCATGCAAATCATTCTGACAGGGCGAAAGGCGTGAACAAAGTTCATTATTTCCAGCCCGTGAATCATTTAGATTCCCTTCTTCAGTAGGAAAAACTGGCCGATCTCGCTCGCGCGAGCACACGGGCCCAGTTGAAACACGAAGCTGTTTTTGTTCCAGCGGGCCAACAGCAAAAGCGGAGCCAGCGCGGTTAGCTTGAACGGCTTTGACTCGCACAGCTGCGGGTCAGTCGTGGATACATGAAAGATACGTAATGATGGATAACCCATACGTCCTTGCGTCCCTACAGAATGACGACGGCGGCCACTGTTGTCTGGTGAACAAGTGGAGCACCTTTCTGAAGGCCCGGCTCATCTGCTCGGTGGCCGGAGCCGATGGTGTCGAGACGCACTTTGATGAGCTCAGTGAGTCCAAGCACAAACGCACACACGTTAAACTTCACGTAAGGCCATTTTGTCAGTGTCACTTTAATCACAGAGCAAATTCAGCGATGAGCTTATGCAGTCCTCTTCATCATCAAAACCCGTTGGTAATCGTGGATTTTTTTCGACACTGCTCCACACTGTCATGATCTACTGGCAAGTTGCTCTTATAAACGCTACTTTGATGCTTTACTCATGCGGCTAGTTTTGGTAAATCATTTTGTCATCCGCGTCTCCCTTTGAACTACACTGATATGAAGATTCAGTATGAGGGAGGACTCGGACAATTTCATTGGTCCACATTTCATCCGTCAACTGCGACAAGACTATTGGTAAACTGGCGGGATGAATCCATCCATCCATCCATCCATCCAACATTTTTCGATCCGCTTATCCTCACAAGGGTCGCGGGGGGTGCTGGAGCCTATCCCAGCCGTCTTCGGGCAGTATACCCTAAACCGGTTGCCAGCCAATCGCAGGGCACACACAGACGAACAACCATCCACGTTCACACTCACACCTAGGGACAATTTAAAGTGTTCAATCAGCCTGCCATGCATGTTTTTGGAGTGTGGGAGGAAACTGGAGTACCCGGAGAAAACCCACACAGGCCTGGGGAGAACATGCAAACTCCACACAAGGAGGCCAGAGCTGGAATTGAACCCGGTTCCTCTGCACTGTGAGGTCAACGCGCTAACCACTAAATGACCGTGCCGCCCTATCAACATGGAAATATGAGAGAGGAAAGTTGTTACTGATGTTATTTGGCATTTTGCAAGTTGAAAGACCCCATTGAATGCCAGCAAAATGGGGCAAGATGGAATTACACTTCCTCCCCTTACTGTGGCCCGGAATAAAATGATCAAACTTGTGGTTGGGAAGCGCTGCTATAACCAAAATCTGCATCTGCTAACAGCTAAGCATCTGGCGCATATTGGACATATCCATATACCCTGATAGGAAAGCTGGCCGTCCAAAGTTAGAACTCCGTGACATGATTTGTAACCCCAACAGGTCTTGACAGATTCACTATCTTGCCCTCCACAGATTGAGCCGACATCTCCTTTGAGCAATGCTAAACCTAAAAGGAAAAATAAGACGGTACCGGAATGCAAGTACTTCTACAGTAAAGCGAGAGATCAAAATAATGAGCAGCTAGCTTCTGACCAGGGCTGTCTGTTATTCACATGAGTGACAGGATTAGGGGCGGGGGGGATTTGTGGTATCCTTGAAGCTGTCCCCGCTGGTGTTGCAAGGAAGGAATCCTTCAAGTGTACTTAGAATACAAGTCTAAATTTACCACAAAATATGTCATGACATGCCTCAGCTGTAAGGTGTAAGGTCATACAGTATATTGTCGTCCCATTAAGGCGTGGCCAAAATTGAACAGGGTATTGACCATTTCTGGCAAATTCCAGGGCTAGTTTTGACAAACTCCAACAAAAGACTTCAACCTAATCAGAAACAGGTAAATGGGCCACACTGATTGTTTAATATTTTTTTTGCCATGCCATTTACGCCAGCATAGCCTCACAGTTGGATCATTTGGATGATTTGCCCTGAAACGGGAATGCAAAGCCTTTTTCATTTTGCTCGTCATCATGTTCCCTTTTTCCCCTTCTTTATCCATCCCTCCTTTTTTGTCCTATCCCAGCAATCAGGGATAGTTTTTTCCACTATTGGGACGCTGTGTGCAAACGCGCGTGACAAACCAAAAAGTTACACTGACGCAAGTTGTTCCAGTTCACGGCTGATTTATTCCTCCTGCGCTCCTTCTGCTTGTAAAACAGGCTGTCAGATGAAGAACGGATTTCTCCTTTGCAACGCAGCCATTACCTGTCATTTTCATAGCTCATGCGAAGGGTTGTCATCCTCGTGATCAAAGCGGGAGTGTAGACTGCACGGGATGAGAATTGAAGGCTCCGTTGTATTTGCTATTCATCCTCAATTCAATTAGCACGACTCACCTCTTTTCTCTTCTGTTTGCGTTACTGGACGAATAAATCTGTGCAAGGATCAAAACACGATAATGTGTCAGATTGATGTCTGACTTGTTGAGAAAGATCACAAGTTAGGGAGGAGAGGAGGGCATGTCATGTTTATTTTTTCTTGATGTGTTTCCCTAAGGGCAATTACCATCCTTCACTGTTCAAGGCCAGTTAAAACAAGTGAAACAGCACTTGTTTTACCCACCCGTTGTTGCACAACATGAACCTGACCGACAGTCTATGTTCAACTAGAATTCCACTCCACCTGTCAAACTTTATGTATTTAATTTTTTTCACCTCCTTTTTTGTTTTGGCTTGCATTTTTCCTCTCATTAAATCCATCAGTGGCGATGTAGGGCTTGCAAGTCCCTGCAGCCTGCAGTCATGTTGGACGCATATGGCTCCTATTAGAGGCGTGTCTCAACATATATTCTATGTTTTACTTTTATTCCCCGGCGGGACGCAGGAACTGTAGTTTTAGTGTCCGATGAGTTTAGATTCAGGATCCCGTTGAGGTTCTGGTAACCTCTGATTCTTAAATGTCTCCATGTGTCATTACACTGGGACCTGAGAACCCCCCAGAAATGGCACAGATCGTATTGGGATCAGTTTTAGGCCGACAAATACATCCTCACTTGTCAGTGGGTTCAGAAGACAACAAAATATGCTATCAAATTTTTCCACATTGTACATCCCCCTATTACGATTTGTTATTTTATTTGTATATCATCTAATAATTGATTCCAGACCTTAAAATTTGCCTGATAATAATAATTCTATGGAAGTTTGAAAATTCATCATCCCAAAACGGGTTTAATTTACCAACAAGAAATTTGGCAGGCATGCCTGTTGTGATTAGATTAATTAAAAAAAGCCTCAAAAAGCCATGCCAGGAAACATCCAAAAATTCTGCCATTTTGGTTTGAAGCACCCATTTTAAGATCAATTTTCTTGGTTCCTTCAAACACAAACTCACCCAAAAGTACCTTCAATGAAGCAACATGTAATTTGGTAGGCATTTCAATCATAAGAACACAGAATAAAAAGTCATAAAAGGGCAGTTTTTTTTTTCCTAAATCCTTTCCCCATGCCAACTTTGACTAAGATGGTTGGCTTGTGTATTCTTAGTACTGTGTACCTTCTACAAATCCAATTCCAATGAAGTTGGGATGTTGTGATAAACATGAATTAAAAACGGAATACAATGATTTGCAAGGCATGTTCAATTTATATTGAATTCAATACATCACAGAGACAAGATACTCAATGTTCAAACTGATAAACTTTGTTGTTTTTCGCAAATAATCACTAACTTTGAATTTTATGCCTGCAACACTTTCCCAAAAAGCAAGGACAGGGTCAACTTTACCACTCTCTTAGATCACCTTTTCTTTTAACAACATTCAAGAAACATTTGGGAACTGAGGACAGTACTTGTTGAACCTTTGGAGGTGGAATACTTTCACATTCTTGCTTGATTTACAGCTTCAGCTGTTCAACAGTCCGGGGTATCCGTTGTCGTATTTTACGCTTCATAATGCGCCACACGTTTTCAATGCGAGACAGGTCTGGACTGCGGGCAGGCCAGTCTTGTGCCCGGACTCTTGTACTCTGAAGACACTCTGTTGTAACACATGCAGAATTTGGTTTGGCATTGTCTTGCTGAAAATAAGGAAGGGGCATCTATGAAAAAAATGTTACTTGTATGGCAGCATCTGTTTCTCCAAAAACTCTGCGTACTTTTCAGCATTAATGGTGACGATTGAACTTTGCGTCCATAACAGTCCTCATGGTACTTTTCCTCTTTGGCCTGGAGGACAGGAGATCCACAAATTCAAAAAACAACTTGAAATGTGGACTCATCAGACCACAGAACACTTTTCCGCTTTGCAAAAGTCCATCTTAGACGAGCTCGGGCCCAAAGAAGCCGGCGGCGTTTCTGGATGTTGTTGATAACTGGAGTTTGCTTTGCATAGCAGAGTTTTAAATCACGGCGAACTGCACTGACGTTGGTTTTCTGAAGTGTTCCTGAGCCCATGCGATATGTTTTACACATTGATTTCAGTTTTTGATGAAGTGCCGCCAGAAGGATCAAAGGTCACGTACATTCAATGTTGTTTTCGGCCTTACCGCTTACAGTCGTGATTTCTCCAGATTCTCTGAAGGTGTTGATGATATTATGGAAAGTAGATGATGAAATCCCTAAGTTCCTTGCAATTGTCAATTGTCCTTAAATTATTTTCGAACGCAGTTGTTCCCAAAGAGGTGAACCTCACCCCATTTTTGCTTGTGAATGAGCAATCCGGGAAATCTCCTTTTATCCCTAATCATGGCACCCACCTGGTCCCAGTTAACCTGTTCACCCGTGGTACGTTCCAAATAGGCGTTTGATGAGCATTCCTCAAATTTCTCAGTCTTTTTTCCCCACCTGTCCCAGCTTTTTAGGTACGTGTTGCAGCCATAAATTCAAATTCAAACCAATGAAGTTTATCAGTTTCAACATTAAATAGCTTGTCTTTATGGTGTACTCAATTAAATATAGGTTGAACGTAGGCTGAGTGTTGGTGGCTGCTATCAGCAGCCTCCATGAGTACCTGATACCTTAAAATATGGCCAGTTTCAGCCCAATTTGTAACTGTTGAGCCATGAATATGCATGGGTCCACTGTAATGTACTGTAGATCACATACTCAGCATTCTTATCCTCACCTTTGCAAGTTGGAACATTCTTTCATGTTATCATATTTTGTACAAATGCTGCGACAAACAATTCAAAAGTACTTTATTGGCCCTTTCAGGGGATGTTTACATCCAGCCGACCCAAGACACCAAGAATCCTGTCATCTACGGAGTCTTTTCAGTTTCAGGGTGAGTGTCTTGACTATGTTTGCAAAAGATGAAACAGAAAAGTGGCTGAATCCCGGCACGTCAGGCCTGATAGCAAGTTGTCCTAATTTAAGGAGGAAAACACAACCCAGCAGACATGTAAAATTTCGATGCAGGCAGGACATAATGCCTTGGTGTGTCCTCTGCTTTGGCATCAGACATGTTTAAATGAGGATGATGAAAGCACTGTTAATCACGGAGGCGCACTGGACACAAACACAGTATAGAGAGCCCTATGCTTATGGCCAGTGTTTGGCAGTGTGTGGGCGTTTTTCTATGTCAATGTGTCAGACGGCTCTTGGTTGTGAGGGTATGTTTGTGTTTCCTGGGAAGTAGCTTCTACCCGTCGCATGCAGCGCCCTCTGTCATTATCTCGGCACTCACTGGCTTGTTCTCCTGTCCAGATCTGTGTTTAAAGGCTCGGCTGTGTGCGTCTACTCCATGGCAGACATCCGCATGGTCTTCAATGGTCCTTTCGCCCACAAGGAAGGACCCAACTATCAGTGGGTGGCCTACACGGGGAAGATTCCTTACCCCAGACCTGGCACTGTGAGTGGTAAACAGAAGAATATTAATAGCACAGTACAGGAACATACAAATATGATTATAAACACATGAGGACTTGGAAATTACAGCTTTAAAAAATATATACAGTGGTGCTTTGAGACACATGTTTTTCGAGATACGTTTTTTGGGCCGATTGTTTTGCTTTGAATTGCAAGCAAAAATTTGAGATACAAGTGCTTGTTTCATGGCAATGAACAAGTCGCAGTTTTGGCAGATTGTAAGCAGTTTTTTCCAAAAAGAGGCTTGAAGCTGTTTGTTGCCACTCCCAGTCTAGGTTTACTGTCAAACTAAACAAAACAAAAGAATGACTCATTGTACTGTACATTAAAAACAACCACCTAAATTTGCTTTAATAAAGTCTAGTTAGCTTAATGCTAACAAACAATGTAAATGCAATAGATGAGCTAACACATAGCATTGGTGTCGCTGTGTTATAACCGTTGAACTATGGATCGTTCAACACAACGGTGAAGCAACACATGCAGATTGACACTACTGTCTTACAATACTCACGGCATATATAATTTATTGTCAGTGAAAAACAACTAACGTACCCGCCACTCATCGAATCAGTTGTGAAACTCTTCTACGTGTGTCCATGTTTATATTTTACTGCCCCCAGATGGCTAATGCGCACACACCAGAAGGAGCAGGACAATATCCATTGAACTCAAGCGTAAAAAAAAAATGAAAACACAAAACCTTTTTTAATTCTTTACATTCATGTAATGATGCCATTACTATATACTTTTAGAACATACAATATTGTAGAGTGTTACATTTTTCACTTAAAAAAACACATTACAACATTTTGGGATGAAGGCTGGAACGGGTTAATGGCATTTCCATTCTTTTCAAAGCGGAAAGTTGATTAGATATTCAAGTGTTTTCAGTTACAAGAGTGGTCACGGAACGAATTAATCTCCTATCTCAAGGCAACACTCTACTGTATATGCTTCTTCTTATTATTACATATCATGTGAAGTGATTACCTGTCTGACAATGTCAATGAAAATTCTAAAAGTGATTATTAGTCAGAATGTTTTGATACCACTCTTCAGTAATTATCCTCTGTTTATAAAGTCCAATTTGTCCTGCATAGTGGAATAGTGGTTAGCACTTGAGGTCACATTTCTGAGGTTTGTCCTTCAAATATCAGCTGCAGCCTTCCTGTGTGGTCTTCTAAAGACATCTGTGGTCGGCTCATCGAAGAGGGTTTTGTGTTTTTTTTTTTTTTTTTTTTGGAACAACAATTCAAGAAAACAATGAAATGAGGAAGTATTTAGCAAAATACAGACCAATAGGGGAAAAAAATGACCTGGCAAGATTTCTTAAAAAATGTCCTGACAGACAAAGAATAAGCAGGGGTTATCGGGTTGTTTGTTTATTTTGTTTTGTTATTGCCTCAATTGGGATATTTAATCCTTAACCTGTGAGTGTGAATGTTTGTCTCGATGTGCCGCTTGACTGGCTGGCGACCAGTCCAGGGTGTACCCCACTTCCTGCGTAAAGTCAGCTGGGATCAGCTCTTGTTCACCCACAACCCTAATGGGAACAGGCAGTTTTCAAAATGGATGGATGACTTGTCCAAATTGTTATGTTAAGGCCGCAGTTGTAACAATAGTTTTTTTTGGCTCTTGGGCTCCCCCTAGAGTTAGCAAATGTTATCTACATGGTACTCGAACACTCTCCACAGAGAATAATCATGCCTTAATGATAAACATTTGTTCCATTTCCAGCAATTAAGGGAAAACACCCAATGTAAATCTTAAATAGAGTGAAAGCCTAAACAATTAAATGTGGTTTAAATATGCAACATTCGAGATGTGTCCATCAAAATAAGCAAAATAAATTGTGACAGTGGCCAATGGATTTTTTTATGTCAGTAGAAGGAAGGGCCGGGCCAGGCTGACTAAATGCTATGTAATATGTAATATTTGTACTATTAACATATTATTGTGTACCTCCGTGTTGTAACTGCCTGATTTTTTTTTTCGTGTGTGTGTCACAGTCTTATCCAAAAACGGAACTAATTAATTTTCCTCCAAACGCTACACAGAACACTCCTTAATGACAATGGCAGTAATATGTTTGGGAAATGTTTCAAAATGTTTTAAGAATAAATTAGATTAATGGAAAATATATAATTATTTTCAATACATTTTCAAAAATCTGCAAAATCTAAATAATTAATTCCCATTGTCATTCTTTTGATTGGGCACTCTAAATTGTTTGAGCATGCGAGTGTGACCATGGATGGTTGTTCGTCCGTGTGACCTGTGATTGGCTGGCAACCGGTTCAGGGTGTCCCCCGCCTGCTGCCCGAAGACAGCTGGGATAGGCTCCAGCATCCCCGCAACCCTCATGTGGATAAGCGGATAAAAAAAATGGATGGAGGGATGGATAACTCAACTCCCATTTTCAGTGTTCCACAAACCCAGCTCACAACTTTAAGCAGTAATTTTAGCACCAGTGTTCACACCATCGACATATGAAGCCTCCAGTTTGGTCCGCCCATATCATACCCTAAAAGTTGATGTTGCAGTGTCGCCACGGCAACAGCAGCAATATTTTCCTACTTATTACAAGCTAGCATAACATCAAAAGGAGTTTAAATGCTTTATGTTTTACAGCCAAACTATTACATGTGGTCGCTTGAAATCATCACATGTGTCATTTGTGAAAACAGTGTCCTGGAGGGACGTTCACCCCCAACATGAAATCCACCAAGGATTACCCGGACGAGGTGATCAACTTTATGAGAAACCACCCCACCATGCACAACTCCGTATACCCGGTACACAAGCGGCCCCTGGTGGTCCGGACCAACGTGGACTACGAGTTCACCACCATCTCCGTCGATCAAGTGACGGCCGCCGACGGAAGCTACGAAGTCCTCTTCCTGGGCACAGGTTGGTGGAAACACAGATATTATTATTTTTTTTTTTTTAATTATTATTCGTAGTAGTTTTTAGGACCCAAACACCAGAATCACTATTTAGTATTAATGTACTCATGAATGAATGGGCTTTTTTAGCGGGTTCAGAATGACTTAAAATTTGCCAATTTTCACAAGCAAATGTGGGTTTAAAGTTAAGGCTTCAAATCAGAGTTGCAAGTTGTGATTTAAGGTTTCAAGTCAATGTTAAGGTTTCAAGATCAGGTTTCAATGGAGGGTTAAGGCTCTAAATGAGGGTTTGAAAACGAAGGGCTTCAATTTCAAGAGAGGCTTTGAAATTAGGTTTTCAAGGGTGGGTAAAAGTTTCAAATCAAGATTTCAAGTCAGGATTCGGTTCGACCAATCCATACACAATTAGGTGATCAGGTCTATCAAAACGGGAAGACTTTAGGATCCATGCATGAAATTAAAATGCAAGTGTGATGTTTTGGTTTCAAGTAGCTATTCTCGGCGAATTTCAAGGTTTGCCACAATGGCAATAAAGATTCGATGCAGTTTTTATTAGAAGCAGTTGTGGACACCAAATGACATTTTTGCTATGGGGGTTGTAATCCAAAGAATTTCAAGGACTGATTATTCTCCTCATCTTGTGTTGGTCAGATCGCGGAACGGTGCAGAAGGTGATTGTGTTGCCACGAGACGACCTTCAGACCGAGGAGCTAGTTTTGGAGGAAGTGCAGGTCTTTAAGGTTTGTCGCCTCAGCCGCGTTGCCATTTCCTATCGTCTTTTGATTTCCTCTTTTGAGGCGTGAAAACTTCATTTATGACTTTTTTTGTTTGGCAGGTTCCCACCCCGATCACCACCATGAAGATCTCATCCAAGCGCGTAAGTCGACGGAACGTCTCACAAGGCGAGAGTGACGCAGCACCTGTCACTCAATGGACACATCTTCCTTCAACAGCAACAACTGTACGTGGCGTCCGTACTGGGTGTGACCCACCTGGCGCTCCACCGCTGCGACGTGTATGGCGAGGTGTGCGCTGACTGCTGTCTGGCTCGAGACCCGTACTGCGCCTGGGATGGAAAATCTTGCTCCAGATACTCGGCGTCGCAGAAGAGGTGTGTGTTCGTTTAAGATGGGAATCATGCAAACGTTCGGTGGTACCTAAATTCATGAGTTTGCGTTGTTTTAGATGAGCCAGTTTATCTTCATGCTACCAACACTGCTAAACATCATCAATCAGAAGGAGCAGCACAATATCCGTAAAAAAAAATCAAATAAAAATAAAAAGATTTAAAAAACCTGATCAACTCTAACTTCTATTTAATTACGAAATGACTGTTAGTTTTTCAAAAGTACAACATCTGACAAGTACTTGTTGCAAAAGTTCGAAAGGGGGGAAAAAAAATATCACTTAGCTGATCACTCTGTTGACGTAGTGTTCTTTGTAATGTCATACAAGGGTGCCGTCATGTTATTCTTTTGTACAAGGACGTCAACCAACGAGAACTACAAAGTTTGGATTCAAACCATTATCAGAAGTAGAAAGTTCCAGTTCAAGCCATTTTATTTTCCATGTTTGGTCACGTAACATATACCAGATTATGACTGTCACCTTCCTGTATATCTGTATGTCTGCATTATACTGCCCCCAGGTGGCCAAGACGCACATACCTGAAGGAGCAGCACGATGTTCATTCAAGTGAAGAAAAAAAAAGTTCTTTATGTTGTATTCATTCATGTCATAATTGTATGCTTTTATAAAGCGCAATATTCTGAAAGGCTTTACATGTTTTCTTTTTTTGTGGGTGGGGGTGGCTAGTACAGATTAATGTTAGATCAATGTACCACTGTATTTAACTTGAGTTGATGTCAAATTCCAAATGGACTTTCTACTTTTGATCCTCTTAGACGCAGCCGTCGTCAGGATGTCAAGTATGGTAACCCCATCCGCCAATGCAGAGGCTACAACTCCAATGGTGAGCATCGAAAGAACTCTTGTCGAAAACAGTACACCAGTGCTTTCCAACCTATTGAGCCACACAGGCCACCACCAAACAAAAATGCCACAAAAAGTATGTAGACTGAAATTATAACGACGTTATCACTCAATCTCTTATAGTTACTCAGTGGGAAATCTGGGCCTTTTTAGCTGAACACAAAACAATTAAATCAATTATTAAGAAAAAAAATATTACTTGTATTTATTATTATATATTATGGATCTACCACTCCTTGCATTTTTTTTTCCAGCCAATAAGAATACTCTGGAGACAGTTCAGTATGGCGTGGAGGGCAGCACCACGTTCTTGGAGTGCCAGGCGAGGTCCCCACATGTTTCCCTCAAGTGGCATCTTCAGAAAGAGAACAGTGACAGAAGAAAAGAGGTGATTACTATTGTTTTATTTTTTTGTAATTATTATTATTATTATTACTCCGATTATTTGTTTGTTTATTTTGGCGGCATCTTGTCGCATCTCAGTGCGTTTCAGAAAGAGCACAAAACTGCTAATAGGTATCTTTTTCAGCAAATAGCTGGTGATAGGTTATACAGGGGTAAAAGAAAAAAACAATTAGCATCTGTGTTGCGGTGCTTTGAACACAAATGGCTCACCAACAACATGTAGGCAGACAATATAACAGTACTCACAGGCATACACTCTTTATCCTCTGTATCGAATGAGTAATATATATATTGAGCTCAGAGAGGAGGTGAGATGCTGTCACGACTCTCACGAGAGAGTTCAAATAAATTGTATTGAAACCGTTTATCATCCCCTCCACTCCCAGATTCGCTCCGAGGGCCGCATCCTGAAGACGGACCAGGGACTCCTGATCCGCTCACTGCAGCCATCAGACAGCGGCATCTACCAGTGCACATCCACAGAGAAGAACTTCAAGCACACACTGGTCAAGCTGCAGTTGGTGGTGCTCTCCAGCCGAACCGTCAACAACGTCCTGGTAGAGACGGGCGCACCTTCCCTCGCCTTGGCACCACTGCAGTCCAGCGCCTGGACGCCAAGCGCCGGCCAGTACAAGGACCTGCTGACTATCCTGAGCCAGCCGGAGATGGGCCTGATCAACCAGTACTGCCAGGACTACTGGCAGCTGGGGGACGGCGGCGGTGGCCTGGGGGATGCCAAAGCCAAGAGTCTGAAGGAGCTGAAGGAGCAGAAGAAGCCGCGCAACCGCCGGCATCGCGATGACGAGACGAGCCCGGCGGAGACATGAGGAGCCGGAAACGACCAGCAGCGAATCGACCACACCTCCAGAAATGCTACACTATCCCTCCAGTTTTGAGGTGTGACTCATAACGGACGCAATACAGCAGAAAAGACAAAAAAACTCTCGGATGAAACACACAATATTTATTGTAGGTTGTAAAAAGTAATTCTTTGTACCTATCTAGGGAAAAAAAAGTTTTTTTGTTTTTTGTTTTGTTTTTTTTTTGTGAATAGGTTGCTGTTATTATTCTAATGTTCGTGTTACTGACTGTGTATTATGTCGAGGATGTCTTTTTTAAATGTTTGGTGTTTTGGGAGCATCCACGCATGGACGAGAACTAAAAAAATGGAACTTGGACTACAACGCTCCTCTCGAAAGCTGTTGAAAGATGGCACAAAAAGAGCATTTTTCAGGACCACGCAAATGCCCACAGACTTGTCTTCATGTTCCAATGCCTGGCCAAATTTTTCCGGAATCATCCAACTAGTGCACACGTTACCAATTTTTTTCAATGTGAGAGACCCCACACAGCAAAGGAAGAACGCTTGGTGCGTTCTTACTGCAAGTATACAGAATACAGTGCTGGAAAAAAATGAGAGGCCACTGCAAAATAATTTGTGTATGCCAACATATTCGTGACAGAGATCCGCAGAATCAGTTTGTCGTTTTCTTCTGTCTGTCAGAAAAGAAAATACTTGAGCACGCAAAGTAGCAGCATTACATCATCATGCAGTAGCATAGCAGACCGAACCCTTCCTGAAAAACGAGACTGAAAGTATATTTGATATTATTGTAAGTCACTGTAACATATACAACAAATATATAACGTATACACAGTTTGAACATTAACGCTGTTATAATATATGAAGAAAAAACATAAAGGATTAAAAATTTGATTAAATTGTATCAAGATCAAAGTTTAAAAAAACAACCAGTTCTTAACTATTAAAAACTCTGTAGAGTGAATTCTGTGAATACAGTATACCTGTACATGTTTGAAGACGAAATTGCTGAAAAATGTTGAAAGACGGAAAAGTATGCAGTACTCAAATTTGGAAATATATGTATAGCATTGAGCTGCTTTTCACCATTTCGGTTTTCCTGATTTTTTTTGACGTGCGGTGCCGAGTGACCCACTCCGGCGTCAGGCAACTCCTCGCTCCATACGTTTCGAATTTGAGCGCCTTCTTTTGTATCAGTTGTAATCCGACGCGGTTGCGAGTTACAGTGTTAATTTTACTCGGCCCAATCCAATTCGCTCGCGAGCGAACTGGTGACTCTCACCTCTCGTTGCAGCATGGGCAGACCCAAAACAATGCGGTGGGATACATTTCAGCGACTGGAAGCTTTAAGTGGATGTTTTTTTTTTTTTTTTTTTTTTGCGGCTCAAACATGTAGTTTTGCGTAGGCATAAGAATGCCGCTATAAATAAGTTGTATTTGATTGACAGCTGGGCGAGGCATGAGGAGACATGGTAGAGTGAGATCCACGTACCAAAGGTGATACAAGTACCACACTCTGAGAATCACTGGTCTACAGTATATGGTTACGACGCAAGCACAGCAAAGCAGCATTGGTCCAAAAGTCCCATCCTTGACTTTTAAAGTCTCTTATTTTTCTCATTTCATTCTGCAGTGGAGTTCTTTTCATTTTTCCCAGAACTGTATATCGCGACTGGTATATTCAATCTGACCACCGCAATTGCAATCGAACCACACGCATAAGGATTTGCGATGGGAAATACTGAACAGATTCAAAATTTGTGATCGTCAACCATAATCATCTTTCGAGAAAAGTCATTCTTAACACACCGCACACCACGGGATAATCACTCATGATAATCTTTTACAGGTATCCGCTTTGATAGGAAATGGAGGTGGTTGGAGAAAACTTCGATTTGAGGCTATCATCGATAAGTGTGCTTGCTGCTTTCGTTATCTTTCCATTTAAATGGTGAATCTTCAGCACGTGATCATTGTTCTGAGGCAGAAACGGTCTCGTAGGAACACAAACATAGGAATCTTATCTCCAAAATGCAGATTCCAGCAGGCAGCTATTCTTAACTACATCTGTGCAAAATAAAAACAAAGCACCTTCAATTGCCGAACACAGACTAAAGTATGGGAAGATGTCTCTTAAAGGGGACGTTGGTGAAAAGCCTTCTGTATCTTTTGATCCCTTGTGGGCGTTTTTGAGGCTCCTCGTAAGCTTCCATCCTCTTTTCATATTTGGAACAATTATACGCAACAAATTTTGGGGGAAGAGTCCTTAAAAAATTGGTTTGTTTTGGCTGGTTGAGTCAGGAGGTTAGAACGTGATGCTAATAGCGCCAAGGTCGCAGGTTTGAACCCCGTACGGGTTATCTTCCTTTTTTTGCGGGCGGCACGGCTCAGTGTTGGAGTGGTCGTTTCCCAACCCAGAGGTTGGCAATTCGATCCCTGGTCATTGCGTCCATGTTGAAGTGTCCTTGAGCAAGATACTGATGCTGCGTCATCAGCAAGTGAATGAAAAAAGAGTGTGAAGCGCTTTGGGTACCTGAGGTAGATCATAGTGACAGCCCATTTACCACAAAAAAGTGGAAAGCGTCCGGTGCTGCAAATTCCACATTTTCATGCTTCCTGTACTGCAGTTGTAACAGCAATGTGTCCCAACTCCTTTGTCCATGTGGGACCTGTGATACATGCAACTTGGTCACAAAAGTGGGGTGGGCGCTTCAGTTTGACAAGGATTACACACACACACACACACACACACACACACACACACACACACACACTACAATACAAACACAAATGCACACAAACTCACATGTACAAGCACACGCACACACACGCACAAATTCACAGGCACATAGTGACACTCACAAACACCCTTATTCAAGCACACACACACACACACACTCGTGCACACACACGCACGCACACCGTTATTTAAAAACATGCACGAGTGCAAGCACAAACAGACGCTCTTGCAAATGTCTACACACATCCGGCCTCTAACACACTCTTAACATGCATTCACTCACACAAACACACTCACACACAGGGCAACAGTCACAGAAGCACTTTAACACAAACACTCACACACACAAATACACGCTGGCACTCGCACACACACTTGCACAATCTTACACACTTTGGACCCCACGCATGCACTCACGCGCACATTTCAGTCATGAAAACAGAGACAGTGCAATTTGATATGGATTGCCGGCCATTTTATTTGCAAGAGTTCATCCAAATTGTGCCGATACTTGTGTCAGAGTTACATTCATTCATCTTTGATTCGTTCAGATACCATCAATGCAAGGGGGTGGGGGGGTGTTATTGGTGGGGGAGGCGTGTTCATAGAAAAGGTACAACCACAACAATTTTAATAGGGTGTCTTTCCGTGGTGCATGGCATGTACAGTGTATGTAAACAGTGTTTGTCTAAAAAGAGGCTTTGTTCCCGTGGATGTCGTTGAATGTCTTTCTCATTGTGGGAATATAAAAATTATATCAAAGGAAAAAAAAAAAAAGAATAAATATGGGCTCAGCTTTTTTTTTAAGAGGGTGTTGGAGTCCAGATTGTACTTTTATTTGAAATCTTATTTCTTCCCTCTGGGTTGCAAAGTAACACTGATAGGATGCACACTTGTAATAATGACTTGTAAAAAAAAAAAAAAAAAAAAAGACTTCCCCATCAATGTTGCTGACTAATAAATAAAAGCTCTATATTTTATAATAACAAATCCTATCTTGTGTTTGCCCTTTGCTGAGAATAGGATTGGAAGTTAGGATTTGCCCTTCAAATTCGGGTCCCATATAAACGTTTGGAATTCAAATTTGGGTTTCAAACCAAGTTTGTGGTGCAAAGCGGGGTTCCAAATTAGGGTTTCAAGACAAAGGTTTGAGTATTTAAAAAGAGACAGACAGTGGTTTGAAACCATGGGTCGAGTTGCAAATTAGGATTTCAAGAGAAAGATGAAGGTTGCAAAACAGGATTAGGGTTTCAAAATTGGCTTTCAATAGCAAAAGGGGTTTCATAATAAAAAATTCCAGTCAGAAAAATGGTGAAAGTGAAATGTAGCAGCGCACACAGACACACAAACACAAACACATGGAGCTGTATATAATTGAAAGTGAGTAGATTAGGATGCTTAACCTGCCTTAGATTAAGGTCAATCAGATCTGTGGGGTGAAACCACAAAGCTCTTTAGACACTTCACAGTTCCTATACAAACACACTGCACATGTGTGAATACAATTTTTTGATAATAATCCATTTCTAGTTCTTCTTGTGCAGTTTTCTTGTGTCTATATGACTGTATTATACTGCCTCCCAGTGGCCAAGATGGACAGGCACACCAGAAGGAGCAGCACAATGAATTAGATTGCAGCATTTAAGGTTTGAAAAAAGGTTAGGGTTTCAAATTAGGGTTTGAAGCTCATGTTTCATGTTTGGGTTCCGATTAGGGTTTAAAGTCTGTGTTAAGAGTTTTGAATTTGAAGCTAGTATTAGGGTTTTTGAATTGTGGTTTCAAGATAGAGTCAGGGTTTCAAGTTATCTTATCTTATCTTAAGTTGTGGTTGTAAAGTAGGTTTTCAAGGTGGTTAGCGTTTACATATTAAGAGTTGAAGCCGGGGTTCAAGTTTTAAAGACGGGCTTAAATCAAAGATAATTGTTTCCAATTTTGGTTAGGGTGGTTAAGGTTTCAAAGCTCAAAGTCAGGGGTTCAAGCCAAAGTGAGGGCTTAAGCTCAGGCTCCACATGACTACATTAAGCCAAGGTTCAGGTTTTAGAATTTGGGCTAGAAGCCAGGGTTGGGGTTCCAAATTAAGCTTTAAAATCTGGGTTGGGGTTTCAAAGAATGGATGGGTTTCCAAAGTAGAGTATCGAGCAAAGGTAAGGGGTTCAGAGTAGTGTTTGAAAGCTGGGTTCAGGTATCAAACAAAGAATGGTTGTAAAACAGGTTTGGGGTTTGAAATTGGGGTTTGAAGACAGAATCAGGGTTTAAAATTGGGACGGCAGATTGGGATAGGGTTTAAAATCAGGGTTTCAATACAAAATATCAGGTTTTAAATGTGTTTTGATTGCAGGGTTTGGGTTTCCAAATTGGAGTTTGAAGCAGAGATTAGGCCTTCAATGTAGGGTTGGAAGCCAGGGTGAGGCTTTAAGGATTCAAACCCAGAACTTCCGATCAGTGAGGCGGCAACGCTAACCGCCACCCCATTATGCCGGCCACATATGGACTCATGTGAGCGACTGTGATTGCCGATAAGCACTTGAGCTGATCTTCCGCTGAGCGCAGCAAAGTCCCCCCTCAAGGCTCTCGTCTGGTTCACCTACGGACCCGCACCTCCGCACCTCCCAACCCTAACCCTCAACCACTCCTGTCCTTGCTCTCCATTGGTCGGCTTCCGCGTCAGGTGGGTCGAGAGGACGCCCGCAATCCTCTCCTAAATCGGGAAGGAAAATACTCCCCAAGTTGTTGACCGGCGTCGAGTCAGACCAAAGGGCCGATCCCCTTCTCGGGTTGTTCTCCTGAAGGCTTTTGGCTTTGGCAGAGGGGCCTGAGCCGGGACCAGCGTCATGGGGGCGGGAGCGAGTGCCGAAGAGAAACGCTCGAGGGAGCTGGAGAAGAAGCTGAAAGAAGACGCCGACAAAGACGCCAGGACCGTCAAGTTGCTGCTGCTTGGTAAAATCGACTAGCGCTCGGCTCGGACATAGTGAAGGCAAAGCAAGGAGTGGAGCTGGGACCAGTTACAGTATATGACACGCATTTGATCAGGAATGAATGATGAATGAATGGATGGATGGATGGATAGATGCCCCACTGGAGCGCAGCTAAACCACATGAATTTTCTCAGCCAAGCGACAGACAGCTCATGATGATGACAAACAATGAATTTGTGGAATCTCTGATATTGATATGTTGCTATTGTACTGAATGTATAAAAAGTAAAACGCTCATTACAAATGAAATGTTGCCTGTTGCATTGTTAAGATAAAAATAGCTATCATAAAAAAAATGTAAAAAAAAAATTCTAATTTCAAAATAATCCTTTAGTTTCAAATGGTGCATATGAAATAAAACAATAAAAAGTGATAAAAGAAGAAATACAGTCAACATTTCTGCCCTTAACATTGAATTTGTTTCCAAGGGGGGATTTCATTCATGATGCTTTTGATCAAAAAAGGAAGTAAATAATTTCATGACATTTAAATCTTTGATTTCTGAGTAAAGTATTACTATCAATAACAAATACCTAAAAAACAGTACTCCAAATGTTCCTTTTATCTACATGTAAAAAACAAATTATGTTATGAGCTCAAAGGAGGGAAAAAAAAAAACCACTCAGTTGAAACACGTGTGGGCGTTGATCTCCAGACAGTTTTGCTTTTCATTACTCTGTTGACGTTGTCAAATGTATTTTGTTTGATCAAAATAATTTTGAAACAAAAACACAGACAATCCCATATAAGAGATGGAGTCCTTCAATTGTATTACAGTCAATTACAGTCAGCGGCGATGTAGGTCAGGGACACGAGCTATCGTTTTGCCCTGACATCAGCTTTGGAGCAGATTAGATGTTCTATAAGAAGCATTAAGAACCATCGGCATCCTCCATCTGAATACCATGAGCTCATCATTATACATTTGTACAGGAATCTATGAAGCGTTTTGCCTTCTGCTCTTTTTGACAAGAATGATGTTTGTCTCGCGTAGGTGCTGGCGAATCAGGGAAAAGCACAATTGTCAAACAGATGAAGTAAGAATTTTCACTTTTCCACATGGTAGAAATAGTCAGCGGACATTTGATTTCGGTGCACCTGGTCATGAGATCTCAGCAATGATTGGTTGCAGTTTGTTCCTCAATCGCAGGAGGAATTTTTTTCTCATCTTTTAGTTCTTTGACATCAAAACGTTTGTCAAACGTTTGAGGTGGGGGACACCAGTGAGTAAAAATAGGATGTCCCAAACATGACCGCAAACCTCAACACCCAAAACCTCACTCCGTGAAAGTTTCATAGTTTCACTGATCAACACAAAATTGGTTGGACACGTCCATCATAAAAGGACACATGGAAAAATTGCATCGGCGGTCGACTATTTTCGTTTGGAGGAATCGTTTTTGCAGATTTCCAACAAATTTGAGATCATTGTAAAGGTGCACCTAATGAATTGACTGGTAAATTGACAGATGCAGTCCAAACCATCCTTTTTTTTTTTTTTTTTTTTTTAATCTGCAGAATTATCCATCAAGATGGCTACTCTCTTGAAGAGTGCCTGGAGTTCATCTCCATCATCTACAGCAACACCCTGCAGTCTATCATGGCAATCGTGAAAGCCATGACCACGTTCAGCATCAACTATGGCCACCCAGATCAGCAGGTGGTAGAAAAATGAGCCGTAACCACACCATGAGTGTGTTCCATTGTGTTGACCATGTTTTCTTTTGCTATGTTTTTGTTTGTTTTTGTGGGGGGGGGGGGGGGTTCAGGACGACGCCAGGAAACTGATGCATCTGGCGGACACCATCGAGGAGGGCACCATGCCGAAGGAGCTGTCTGACATTATCCTGCGCCTGTGGAAGGACTCGGGCATCCAGGCAAGCTTCGACCGGGCCTCCGAATACCAACTCAACGACTCGGCCGGATAGTAAGTATGCCTTGTTCCAAAACTGAACTGAAAGTAGTAAAAAGAAAAACAAACAAAACAATCAGCTCCCATCTCTCTCTCTCTTAGCTACCTGAATGACTTGGAGCGTCTGATCCAACCGGGTTATGTGCCCACTGAGCAAGATGTGCTGCGATCCAGGGTGAAAACCACCGGCATCATCGAGACCCAGTTCTCTTTCAAAGATCTCAATTTCAGGTGCGAGGAAGGAACGCTCATGAGTGTCGAAAGCACAGACATTATAAACAGTAAATAACCCCCCCCCCCCAGTCTCTTTTAACAATAAGCTTCTCCCGAGACTTCTCTCTGGACTACAATATTTTTGAGCGACGAAAAAATGTCTTGCTCCTCAAAGCTGCTCTCCAAATTAGAAACTTCCCTTGGGACTGGAACCCAGACTAAACCTTCACTCGTGACAATTTCCTTCTCTTAAAAATAGAACTCGAAACAAACCCCCTTTCAACACTGTTGTATTAATATAGAACAGCTGCAGCTCTAACAAGGTATTTTACGAAATACATAAAAATGAAACATTACCGATAATCAAGACAAAACAAAGCAACCAGCCTTGATCTCCATTCCTCTCAAGACTAAAATCCTCTAGAGTAGAATCTTTGCGAGAATAGAACCTTCGTTGGGAACTAGCAGCTTTAAATCAAGACTACAACCTTCTCTGGAGACCTCTACCTTCTCTCGGCACTAGGGCAGATCTGCCACATCCAATATGGCGAACACACTGACATATGATAGCGGTATACTGTAAATATCGATGGTCAGAAGTACTATTTTTCGATCTCGGTTTCTGGGCCTCTTACGCAGGATGTTCGACGTTGGCGGTCAGAGGTCGGAGAGGAAGAAGTGGATCCACTGCTTCGAAGGGGTCACCTGCATCATCTTTATCGCTGCTTTGAGCGCCTACGACATGGTGCTGGTAGAGGACGACGAAGTGGTGAGACGCTTGGACAGCTTGACCTTCAAAGCAGTAGATACACGTACCAACCTTTAAGGTCCTAACCAAGGTCCGGTATTTAAATGGAGGGGGACCCGACTCATGACGAGGAAAAAAAATCTGCAAGTGTTAGCAAGATAAACAGTACCTCACACACATGAAACTAATAACCGCAAGTCTCCAATCTCATCCCTGAAGTTTGGGGTAAATCTGCCATCAGGATAAGCTTGCCGTTACAAATATTGAACACACTTAACAGTTTACGATTACCAGCCCTGATTGGAGATCCGATAATAGGGCCTTGAATGATGTTGATCAGAAGGAGGGAAAATACTCAAGTCCGGTCTGATTATCAGTATGTGTGTACCCTGCAAGATAGATATACGCGAACAATTAAATGAACTTTGTTGGACTTTTTTTCGTCCATAGGTTCGATTGCGAGTGTGAATAGTTGTTTGTCTATATGTGCCCTGGGATTGGCTGACGACGAATCCAGGATGGACTTCATTTTGGTGCTCCAAAAGTGAACTGGGCTAGGCTCCATTGACTCTCATGAGGTTTTCGCATAGGGTTTAGGGCATACGGTCTGAGGCGCAAAGGTTTGGAGTTAGGGTCCATTTACCCATAAGTCGAATAAGGACAAACACTAAACTGTAGAAATGAGATCGATGGATGCATTAGCCTTGTGAGTAAATGGTAGCCAGTCGAGGGTGGATCCCACTTCTCTTGTCAAAAGTCAGCTTGGGAAGGGGGTCCAGCTCACCTGTGAGCCTAATTGGATCGATATATAGAAACAAATGCGAAATCCGATTTTTTTTTTTTTTTTTAATTCAAGCAAAAAAAGAATTAGGTAGAATAGCACTCTGCACCGCACAGGCTTCCACCCTGGCAGTCTATTTTCTCCACAGAACCGAATGCACGAGAGCCTGCACCTGTTCAACAGCATTTGCAACCATCGCTATTTCGCCACCACCTCCATCGTCCTCTTCTTGAACAAGAAGGACGTGTTCGTCGAGAAGATCAAGAAGGCTCACCTAAGCATGTGCTTCCCCGACTATGACGGTAAGGCCTTAGTCAAGTAAAAATAATTAGTTACTGTATTTAAGTAGAGTTATCATCTGTGATATACATTGTACTTTTGTCTTCAAGAACACTTCAGAGTCTGTCGCGTTTCACCTTTACTTAAATACAAAAGTTGAATTAGTATTTCTACATTTTTTTTTAACACAAGTACTTGTACTTGTGACAACTTATTTTGCTTCTATGTCGCCCCCTGAAGGTCCCAACACCTATGAGGATGCCGGTAACTACATCAAAGTGCAGTTCCTGGACCTGAACATGCGCCGAGATGTCAAGGAGATCTACTCACACATGACATGTGCCACCGACACGGAGAACGTCAAGTTTGTGTTTGACGCCGTCACCGACATCATCATAAAAGAAAACCTGAAAGACTGCGGCCTCTTCTGAAGGATCTTCACACGTGTGAGTCCGATCAGAGTTCCAAAATGGCATTTAGGTTAGGTTTATAAGTACTGTATTATTCATGCTTAAATTTCAAACAAGGGTTTGAATGAAAAAGTTTCAAGTTAGAGTTTCAAGTCAGATTTAGGGATTCCAATTAGGTTTTCAAGCCTGAAATCGCACCAGATTTTACATCATATTTTCCCTCCTCTAACCTCAGATTTTTTTTTTCACTCCAGAATTGTGTACTAATACAGTGTGCATCATCTACTGACGACAACAAAGCGTCCCATCAACACACATGTAAGAAGTCTTAACTTTCACTTCTGTGGACTGAACAGAAACTATTTGCCATCATAATTCGCTCCCATTATGTTTTTTTTTTTAGAGGAGCTAATTTGCCCTGGGAGGCTATGCAACATGTAGCAGACATCCAAATAAACGTTTCTTGCCGGGATGCACATATGCACTTCAACCTCTGTCAGACTAATAATGTCTTTGTATAACTATGGTGTAGTTGTTTTTCTTTTTTTTATTAGATGTACTCATTTTAAATTTAAAAGCGAACGTCTGCAACCCGAACGAATGCTAAACAGTCTCATGCAGACATTACTGTGCATAGCCCGACCCCGATATTAAAGCTTCTGTAGAGAACACTATGTGACCATCATTGTCTATTTATTTATTTATGGATTGATTTTAATGAGAGAAGAAATAAAGACAGCAAAGTTAGATCTGTTGTTAAACCTTCTGAGCCGGGAATGTTTTGTTTTTTTTTGTGCGAGGCCGGTGGTTGGATGAGCCTATAGGCGAGTCCGGGTAATTGCTTGGGGCCTCCTAAATATCTCAAGGAAATCGATGGATTTTTTTTTTTTTCTTAGGGCTTTAAATCAGAGCTTCAGGAGAAAGAGTGATTAGAGTTTCAAATGAGGCTTTAAGGCTGGCTTTCAAACATATGTTGGGGCTTTCAAAGTAGGGTTTGAAGCCAAGGGTAGTTTCAAAATGATGGGTTTGAAATACAGCTGTGGCTAGTGAATGATTTGAAATGGATTATCCATTCAATTACTCCATCGATGATTTGGGGTACATTTTTATTTGGCATTAGCTTGCTCAGTCCTAAATTGTTGAATACATCCGGATGTAAATACGATGAAATAAAATCTGTAATTGTGAACTTTTGTCCATAATTCATCTTTTGATCTGAAACCTCGATGTCTTCAGTGTACAACAAAAACAAAAGGAATTTATCTTGCCATTCCACTACATTAGGAGGGGACCGTCTTACCGTACTGCTGAGAGGATGAAATCAAGAGTATTTTGATCATCTTAAGTTAACAATAGTTCTTCACGATTACATCATTGTGAAAATTGTTGATTTATTTGATCATTGTGACAGTTGTCGATTAATCGATTTAATTTTGACCACTCTAAATTGAAATGCTGGTTAAGAGGTAGGGAATCCAAATTGGGTTTCAGGTTCCGGGTTTCAAATTAGAGTTTCAGGTTTCAGACAGATAAGAGTGGCTAGCCTGGGTTCAGGTTTCAATTTAGTATTTGTGTCTAAGAGTAGGCTTTTAAGTTTGGGTTTCAAGTCCAGGTAAGGGTTTCAAATGTGGGTTTCAAACTCATGTTAGCGTTTCAAATTAGGGTTTGAAGCAAACGTCTACATTTCAGGTTTGAGTTTCTTGCCTCGGCCTTCAAATAATCCAACTGCAGACCCCCAAAATAACATACACACTCAACGGCGCTCTGATTCCTGTGCAGCAAGTTTACTTGGCAAATAAACACATGAAAATGTGCCACTTAAAAAGAAAAAAATAATAATACCTTATGGCCTTAGAGGCAATAACTAAGACATCATTTTGTGAGATTGTTCATCAATTTGTTCTTCTTTACACCCTGAGACAATTATAGCAGGTATGAAGCAATTACAATAGGCCTCAGAAATCAGAAAAAAAAGCATGTTAGAAAATGTTCACATAGAAATCTATGGCTTGAATTAGTTGTAAACATCTGTGGATGGTCTCTTGCGGAATAACACAAAAAAATAAATGACTGAAGGCACTTCTAAAACAGTGGTCAAAATGTAGATGCTTGCATTTGATTCTGTACATTATTATACCCAAGAAATGAAAAAGCAAGACTCGACAACAGAAGCGTGCACAATTTAAAACGAGGATACAGCACTTGTGGTAAAGTCCAAACAGGCACTGAATGCTTCATATGTTAGAAGAGGTGTGCGCACACACGCACACGCACACACACACACACACACACACACACACACACACACACACACACACACACACACACACACACACACTCTCTCTCGAAACACTCCATAAGTGACTGACAGACTGAAACGAGGAAAAAAATTTGAAATCATGTTCCTGTGGAAAGCTCTCCATTCTCGTGGTAGTTTTAGTGCACCTGGCCAAATAGGACTCAGAGCAGCCCTACCATTTGATCGATCTGCCTCATATAGACGCTCTTCAAGGGCAGCGTATAGCGTCGCGCCTCGGGAATGCGGATGCACTGCGCGGGAAGAGGACCAAGAGATAATTAGGGCTGATTAGGGTTCCAAATTGATTTTGCATTCTATGCAATGTGTTATAAGCTAATTGTCATCATCCAGATTGTGACCACACAAAAAAAAATTAAAACAACAACAACCAAGATGCCAATCCTTACATTACTGGTGTTCTGAGAGGGTTGCTCAGTTGTCGTCGTCTGCAACGGCTCGTCGACTTCACGCGGACACTTGCCGCTCGATCCTTTCTCCCGGAAACGCTTGTCGACGGGCATCAAGTGACCCTCGGTGGTGAAGATGTATTTGTTACTCGATTTGTGAAGCGGGTTGTCCTCATCAAACAGCTGCAATTAAAAAACAAGAACAACGAAAATAATTCAATAGGGTTTTAAATTGATGGAATTGTGAGCGACAGCTCGTACCAGATAAAGGTATTTGCAGGTCTCGCTGAGGAAGAAACTCTCCATGCGATCTTCTTTGGATTTGTGAACAACGTGATGGAGGGTGGCATAACCGCATCTGCAAATCACGCAGATCACATGAATCCCGTGACAATTAAAGAGTTAATAACTGCAAGGCACACACCTGACTTTGGTATTTTTTTCAAGGCTCTGAAGAATGTCCATTCCAACGTGTAAGTAGAAAGGATTTTTGGTCGCCTGCAAAGGCACATCAGTGATAATGACAATGAATATACATATATATATCCTTAAACTTGTTTTTTAAGGCCTTATTTTTCACAAAATCCATTTCATGACTCTTAATGCGTTAGAATGGCGCTCGGGAACCCTGTATTAATTTGTAATTATTTCAAAACACCGTATGTCAGATGGCGGGTCACCTGGTAGAGCAAATAGGTGGACTCCACCAGCTCAGGTCTGAGCGGGTAAAACAGGACATCGGGAGCTTGCCGCTGCCAGTTGTACCTCTCTGGCAAAGCCCCAAAGCGCTTCCAGATGGCATAGTAGAAAGCATGGAGGCAAATGGCGTTTTCCACATCACCATTTAGCACCTAAAAAAAGACAGTTGAGTCAAAATAGTTTTCTTTAGACTTGTATCACAAATTTGCTTTTGTGTGTACACACGCTGACCTGCAGCCCGGGAAAGAAGGCCTGCAGGGAGTCAATCCACGTGTTCATGATCTTGCCGCTCATCATGTTGACGTTGACGTACATGGGCGGGTCACCTTCTCCTTCGTTGCATGATTCTCGCCTATTGGAATGTAAAGAACGCAATTGCAATATAGCTAACCAGAGGGTTACAACTGTGTTGTAAACTGAGGGTCCTCACCCTCGCCTCAGGTGGTTCTGGATGCTCGCGTAAGCGGCTTGAAACATGGTGTAGTCCTCCTCCTCACCGAACAGGATGTAAGACTTGAGCAGATACTCATAGAAGGAGTCCATACCCGCGCCCAGACCGCTCTGCTTCCCCACCCAGTGGCCCGTTTGGATGTTGACAATGTTGCCTGATCAGACAAATAAATAAGAATGTGACAAGTCAATGTATGCCTCGAAAATCTCAAATTTTTAAAAACATGATTGGCTGTGTTAATGTGTCCACAAAAAAAAATACTGAATTGTAATAATAATTAATAATTTTGAAAAAAAGTGCAATGTGAAAAATTGATGTGATGGTTTGAAGTGGTTGGCAAGTTTTAGAACAAGTATACAACAAAATATGTGTGAGTGCTCTTCAACACGGACGCAAGGAATGTTTCCAACCCACATATATCTTCACACAAACATGTATGTGAGGACAGGAAGCGTTCTTTTTTTCCCCTTCTTTTTTAATTTTGGACTTAACTATTTTACTCCCATTCAAAGAATGCAGCAATCTACAAACCTTATCAAAAACACTATTTTTGATCAATGAACATAAACTAATCCACCTTGCTGGATATTTTGGGGATGCTGTAAATACACATAGCTAGCAAGATACATGCTTTTATTTTTCATTATTCGTGCAAAAATGACGATAAATTGTATTACATCCCAATCTACCCCCTAAAAAAGGCACCACCGGCACCCGGTTGGGTTCGGTGAAATGCCTCATCAAAAAAAATGATGATGATTACTGTCCTCTACCTAGCAGACCAGTTTCATTGTTCCTCAGCTTCCAGAGGGCTCTGACAGCTTGTCGAGCCATTGCTTCAAATGTGAAATCTCCTGTCAACCGGCTCAGAATTCCAAACTCCACAAGCAGCGATCCAGCTCCTGCAGTACACGTCTCGTTAATACTGCCGGAAGGGACTCCGGATTTTAGATTCACCTGCATTTGGGAAAAAAAGGAAAAATAATGAGAAATAAGGGCAACTGAATGTGACAACCTGAGATGTGTTGAACTCACCCTGGGGTAAGGGATACCTGTGCTGGTGTTCTCAAAGGCGGGCAACAGACGCACGGCCAGGTCGTGTGCCAAACGCAGCAGCTGGTTGTCATAGTCCTCAAACTTCACCCTTCCAAATGGATGCTTGGAGTCGGTGAGCAGAATGTGAGCCGAGATGAGACTGCCTAAAATCCTTCAGCAAACAAGATCGATAATAATCATTCAAGGAGGTATATTGTGGGTTTTTTTCCACAATTCCATCAGTATTTTGTTATCATTTGTTCAATACAAGAACTGAAAGTGTACCGGTGGCTGTGCCCACGCCTAAATTCTTGCAGGGGCATTACAATATGTTCAAATTAGGGGTGATAGGCGCAATTAAACCAGCTCATAACTTGAGAACCTGTCTTGGTGATTAAGGATGTGTTGTATTTAGTTCTGATTTGCAGTAGACCCTTTTTACTTTGGCATTTTAAGTTTGAAGTATGAAATGATAGCAAAGTATGGACTTTCTCTTTTATGTAGTCTTGCCTCCCGGCTCTCCACCACTGCACCAACCTATTTCCAGATGGAGTTGTTTGTGAGCTTGCAGTCCATGAGGAAAAATGATTACTGTGAAGTTTTGAGGCAAAGATTTTGTTTTGACTATTTTTGTAATGAAATTTTTCAACTTCTTCAAGTAATCGTGTGCAGCCTAGTGTAAGTAATTAACAAGTACATTTTTCATAATATAGTGAAAAATGGTTAACAATCATGTTGGCAAAATAATACCTCATTCATAGGAAGGATACATTGACCAAAAATTACATTGTGTTGCAGATTTCTCAGCTGGATCAATTAATACTGCAGCAAAAGGTATCTGCGGTATGTCAATGAACACCGGAGGTATTCATGAAACAAAATGTGTAATATTGTCCTTGTAGTTTTGCAGCGGGTACCTGATGTTGGCCTCAAAAACCTGCACCGTTGAATCCTTGTCAAAAGATACGGTGTCGATAACCAGCTGGACGGCCCGCTGGAACTCTGTGACATTTCCAAGCACCTGAGGAATGAACTCCGAATGAGACCTTGCGCTAGAAGGCATCCATCAAATTCCCAAGAAAACAGTCCAGACACTTCTGCCTGGATTATAGAGTAAAAGAACACATGAACGGCATACCAGTAGGGTGTCTAAGGCATCAATGAGCGTCAGCGAGTAGTTTCCCAGGACGTCATTGATGTTGATGTTAGAGCTGTAATTAAAGGCAAAAATAGTAATTAAACAATCACTGACAAATAATGTATGGATCTGACATATGAAATGTCCATTCATCAATTTTATGAACCAACGTGTAGTCATTTGCGTCGCGGGTGAGCTGGAGCGATCCTAAGCTACTTTTGGCAAGAGAAGAGGGCGAACATGCGTGATTATAAGAACACGCGAGAAAGTCACTAGTCCGGTAATTGGTCGATGGCTCGAGGTTGGTTGTTTGAAAAGTAGATCTTCGGTAAAAAACCCCCTGTTCTCCCTCCTTTTTTTCCAAGCATGTACAGCAGGAGTCTCAAACTCAATTTACTTGTGTGTGTGTGTGTATATACACACACACACACACACACACACATACACAATTTACTCAGTCATATTGTGTAAAATGACAGGTTGCAATTTGGTTCTCAAAAATAAGAATAAGTTAAAAAGTGTGAACCGGTCTTGAATGTGATACAATGGAAAATTTGGACCCTTGTGTGTGTGTGTGTGCGTGTGTGTGTGTGTGTGTGTGTGTGTATGAGAGAGAGCATTGAGTTGGCTACTTGTACTTAGTAAACTTGTTTTGATACCTTACGGTGCAAGAAATTAATACATTGATCGTGATTTAGTAATTCCACCGTTGTCATAATTATATACAACGTTCAGGCAAATGTGGAGGTGTCTTTATTATTCCCGAGTTTTATCTACGCCTATTAGAATTTAGGCGTTGTCTGCCAACCCCAAAATGACCTGTGAACATGACATGCCAACTTACGGGTTGTGTACGTCAGGACCCCTGCCCTCGCAGTCAATTGGGTTGAGTTCGTCTTTGGGGAACGCATATTTCATGTAGTTGTCATAGCCGAAGTAGAACATTTCTCTGGCCTTCTCCTTCATGGTGATTTTCAGGGTTCGCGGGAAGGAGCTGTATCTGCGGACGTAATCATCCTTGTTGCCGTCGAAGAAGCTCATGTAGGGCCTCTTCGGAGACTCGCCCGCCACAACGGCACAGGTCCCGGTGGTCTCCTCATGTTTGTAGCCGCTTATCCGTTTGGACCACGAGTCGTTCCCTTTCCTCTCCCCGGTCGAGGGCTCCTCGGCGCCGCCGTCGGTGTGGCTGGTGCCCAAGCTAACGTAAGCTCCGAGTCCGAAGGCGAGCCATAAACTGACAGACAGTCTCAACAGGACCAGACCGACTACTATTGACCGCCATTGCATCTTTGCTGAGACTCGCTATAAAAACGCATACTTTATGTGCGTACACCTGCGTGGACTAAACGAAAGCGATATCTTGGACTGTACTTGTGTCACAGCAGTTTGTGGAAGTGTCCTGGTGCACACGCTTCCTGTCAACAAACCAGCCCCTCCCAAGATCCTGGCCAGTGATTGGAATTCATGGTATGACGTTACCCGCTTTCGATAACTGATTGTCCCTAAAAGCTGTCAATCACGAGCGTGTACTGTTTCGCGACACTGCTGACGCGTATATAACATGCGAGCCAATAGGAAACACCTCAATGCTTGACAGACGTGAAACACGCTGCATTTCATCTACATCCGGGAACTCTGGGGACTACTTGCCTTAGCTTTGGGGTCATCCTAAGAATTGGCAATAAATTAAGAAGGTGACCGACTTATGGGAAACGGCGAGTGATGATTAAAAAAAAAAAA